CTTCCCTGTAATCGAAGCTCTAGGCTGAGAACTGGGGCTCCTTTTGTCCAGTCTCTCTACTCCCTGTGTCTTTGCTGTTTGATTTTACTTTGTAGTCTTTCACTGTACTTACTCATCATCCTGGAATGCTCTGGGGAGCACAAGTGCCTGGTGTTTGCCTTGCTTTATGGATGAAGAAACTGAAGCTTAGAAAAGTAGTCAGCCGGGATAACGGGCACGCAGGTGGCATCACCTGGATCCAGCACAGCACTCTGGCTCCAAACTCTGACCTCTGTGCTACATCATACTTCACCACTTTTCTTGCATCTTTATGTTAAACTTTTTACAAAACAAGTAATTCATATCTAATTTACTGTTTTGTTCTTGTGCTGGACTCAGGTTTTTGTTTTTGTTGTGGGGGTTTCATTTTGGTTTTTGAGATACGGTCTCCTATAATCCAAGCTAGTCTCAAACTTACCATGTAGTGGAAGATGACCTTCAACTCCTGATCCTGCTGTCTCTACCTCCCAGATGCTGGTATTACAAACCTAGTATTTGTGGTGGTTGGAAAGAAAATAGCCCCCAAAGCCAGGAGTTGGTAGCACACACCTTTAATCCCAGCACTAGGGAGGCAGAGGCAGGAGGATCTCTGTGAGTTTGAGACCAGCCTGATCTACAAAGTGAGTTCCAGGACAGCCTCCAAAGCCACAGAGAAACCCTGTCTTGAAATCCACTCCCCAAGAGCCAGGTGTGCCAGGCAGTGGTGGTATACACCTTTAATCCCAGCACTTGGGAGGCAGAGACAGGAGGATCTCTGTGAGCTTCAGACCAGCCCTGTTGTACAGAGAGAGTTGCAGGACCAGCTCCAAACCAAAGCTACAGAGGAACCCTGTCTTAAAAAACAAACAAACAAGCAAACAAAAAAGAGCCAAGTGTACTGGGGCTGGAAAGATGGCTTAGTGTTTAAGAGAGTTTGCTGCTCTTCCAGAGGACCTGAGTTCAGTTCCCAGATGGCTCACAACCTCCTGTAACTCTCTAGGTCCAAGGAATTTGATACTCTCTTCTGGTCTCTGCAGGTACCCACACGAATGTATGTACAAACACATGTGTCCCCACACACACACAAATTTTTACTATTTTATTTTATGTGTATTTTGCCAGAATGTATGTCTGGGCACAGTGCATGTCCAGTGCTAGAAGAGGCCAGAAGTTGTTAAATCCTCTGAAGTGGAGTTACAGACAGTTGTGAGCTGTCATAACCTGGGTCCTCTGGGAATATCTTTTTTTTTTAAAGATTTATTTATTTATTACATATACACCAAATTGAATTGTAGATGGTTGTGAGCCACCATGTGGTTGCTGGGAATTGAACTCAAGACCTCTGGAAGAGCAGTCAGTGCTCTTAACCTCTGAGCCATCTCTCCAGCCCCCCTCTGGGAATATCTTAACAGCTAGATATCGTAGCACGTGCTTGTAATCCCAGTACTAAGGAGGTAAAGATAAGTGGGTTACACACATAATAATAATAATAATAATAGTAATAATAGCAGCCAGCCGTTGGTGATACATGCCTTTAATCCCAGCACTCAGGAGGCAGAGGCAGTCGGATCTCTGTGAGTTGGAGGCCAGCATGATCTACAGAGCGAGTGCCAGGACAGGCTCCAAAACAATACAGAGAAACCCAGTCTCGAAAAAACAAAATAAATATATAATAAATTAAAATAGAAACAAAAAACTAGGGCCTCAAGAATAGCAGGCAAGCACTCTCTCATTAGCTACATCCCTAGCCCTAAAGTAATTTTAAAATATCCAAAAATTACATTTATTTATGTGTGCGTGTTGGGGATGGCAAGTGCACATGCCACAGTGCCCATGTGGAAGTCAGAGGACAATTGTCAGGAGTCAGTTCTCTACTTCTACTATGTGAACCCTGGGGACCAAACTCAGGTTATCAGCTTGACAGCAAACACTTTAGCCTGTGTTTTAGTTACTTTTCAATTGCTGTGACAAAACACTATGACCCAGGCAATTTATAAAAGAAAACATTTAATTTGGGACTTATGGTTTCAGAGGGCTAGACTTCATGACCATCGTGGCAGGGAGTATGGCAACAGGCAAACAGGCATTGTGCTGTAATAGTAGCTGAGAGCTTATATCTCTTTTTTGGGGGGAGGCCGTTTTAAGTCAGGTTTTCTCTGTGTAGCCTTGGCTGTCCTGGAACTCCCTCTGCAGACCAAGCTGGCCTGGAAGTCAGAGATTCACCTACCTCTGCCTCCAGAGTGCTGGGATTAAAGGCATGCGCCAACACCTACTGGTGAAAGCTTTCATCTTAAACCACAAGCAAGAGGCAGAGAAAGCTAACTTGAAACCTCAAGGCTGGCCCCCCAGTGACACACCTCCCCCAAGGCCACACCTCCTAATCCTTCCCACACAGTTCCACCTACTGGGAACCAAGCATTCAAATCTGGGAGTCTGGGAGCCATTCTCATTCAAGCCACTACAGCTTGCTAAAATTACTTTTTAGAATATAAAATAAGAAAAGGGTACCAAGTAGTGGTGGCACACACCTATGACGCCAGCACTTGGGAGGCAGAGGCAGGCAGATCTCTAAGAGTTTGAGGCCATCCTGGTCTACAGAGCAAATTCCAGGACAGGCAGGGTGGTTATACAGAGAAACCCTGCCTCAAAAAGAAAATATAAACAAACAAAAGGAATATGGATCATTTTTGAGTTTACTATTCTGGCCATCTTTTTTAGAGAGGCAATATGAAGTATTGACTTTTTCTTTCTATGTAGTAGAAAGTTAATAAAACAGGTTTCTGCCTCTTGCCAATCAGTATCAGAAAAAAAAAAAAACAGGCAAATTCACACCATAGATATACCATTTCAACTAAATAGGAAAAACAGAAACTCCCACAAGGCAGTTAAATTACCCAATTTACTTTATTCTCCTGCCATGTCAACTGCTGTTTAGGCTTAATTATTTGCTCCTACTTCATAGCACGCCAATATAGGTGTCAGCACCCCCTCTGCTTCAGTTACATCTCTATAAGGAAATAGGGGTGAGACTTCCTGGGTTTCTGTGAGAATTAAAAGATTTATAGGTTAGCGTCTTCCAAATTAGCAGGCTTAGGCACGTGACACATATTCAGTTCTGTCCTGATCCCCAGTGAAAGCAATTAACAAGAAGGGTAGCTGCAATATGTTTTTCCCCCTAAGTGTCTGGCACCTCCCTTGGGAAAGCAGGCCTCACACTGGCAATGCCGACAGCACCAAGTGTTTCAAGATTCCTTAATAGAAATAGCTGCTGGTCAAATTCTCCACGGTGACTACTTACCAGAGGGCACCACAGAGCTCCCTCACATATTAATCCTCATGGCAAAAGACAGGATGGGGTTTTAAGAAGACTCACATCACCCATTTACTGTAATCTAGACTTCCCTCAGTGTAGACCAACTGGATATTAACACAGAGCCCAGCACAGTGTACACCCAGTAGGAGCTCAATAAATCCTTATTTTTAAAAGGGGATGGAGCTGGGGAAATGGCTCAACAGTCAAAATACTTGCTTGCAACCATGAGAACCAAAGTTCAGATCCCCAGAAACCTACATAAACATTGGATGGGCATGGTAACCTGCCTGCAATTCGAGCCTTGAAAGGCTAAGAGAGGGGACCCTCAGAGCAAGACTAGTCACCTTGGCAAGGTCTGGGCTTCATTGAGAGATCCTGCCTCAATGAATAAGGTGGAAAAACTATGATTCAGACATCAACCTTGGCCCTCCACCTGCATGTACACCTACACATGTGTATAAACATGCAAAAGCATATATATACACATACATGCACACCACGAACATAAAAACTGAAATAAGTCAATCAATCCTTATTAAATAAACAAGTGAATAAGTCTGGAACACAGGAAGTATTCAGGGCCTTAGGTGGGGATTACAACCAAAAATATAAGAAAGTATTCAGTAAATATTTGTTGAATAAATAAAAAGAAGTTGCCAAGAAATGTCCTAAGTATCAGGAAAGGGAGATGTAGTATTTATTATGGGCCTATGTATGACACATTATGAGCTATTAAGAGATAAAATAAGCCAAGTGGTGATGGCACACACCTTTGATGCCAGCACTCAGGAGGCAGAGACAGGTGTATCTCTGTGAGTTCGAGACCAGCCTGATCTGCAGAGTGAGTTCAGGACAGGCTCCAAAGCTACAGAGAAACCCTGTCCTGAAAAACCAAAAAAAAAAAAAAAAAAAAAAGTAAGTGTGTTTGTCACACAGGTCTTTAATCGCAGCACTTGGGAGACAGAGGCAGGTGGGGTATCTGAATTTGAAGCCAGCCTGGTCAACAGCGTGAGGTCCAGGACAGCCAGGGCTATACAGAAAAACCCTGTCTCTGAGGAAAGAAAAACAAACATGTGACCTCAAAATTCTCATGCCAGTCCTGTAAGTATAACGACCTCCCTTCTACAGGTAAGAAAACATGTGTAAAGAGTGATGTCAGGCATGGGATTACCCAGATGTCCGATCTAGCCAATACACTTACTCTGTCAACAATATTTTCCACATTAGCAACTACTTAGGTCGGGGGCTGAAACAGAGGCTCTACAAAGCAGGATTTCACAAATTCACCCCAAAAATGTTACAAAGCGAGGTTGGTCCAAATAACTGGGGCTCAGAGAAGTTCTGCGACTTTCCCGAAGTCACCAAGTGCGACTGCCTCAGGGAGTGGACACAAGGGAAGAATCCTTTCAGCATTTACTGCCTTTGCCTCAGAGTCCCAAGACCCATAAACCAGAATGGAACCCTAAAACCCCGTACACGCCTGTCCTAAGTGTCCTGCCAGTTATCAAAGCTCCTCTAGGCTCTCCTGACTCTGGAAGCTCCAGGTCAGCACCATGTCCACCTCCCCATCCTGGGCAAGCAGATGGATGGGAAGGCGTGAGGTGAAGGGGTGGGGGAAGGAAGCCACGGAAGGCGCATGCCCAGGCAGCTCCATTCACGCACAGCTCACCTGAGAGTCCCGAAATTCCACCACCACGTTCTCGCTGCTCCAGCGTGCCGCCATCTCCTTACCCCGGCCGCGGGGGTGCCTGTCGGCGACCCCCAACTCCAAACCCTGACACTTCCCAGGCTAGTAAGCCCCACAACGCCTGGCAATCAATCAGGCCACGCCCATTTCCCCGCCTTCCGCTTGACCGCAATTCATTGGTTAATCTAATGATAGATCCCGCCCCATGTGCTTTCTCCCCCAACGGCGGACCTCGTATGCCCCCCCAAAACAGGAACGCCCCCTTCATCCGTCATCAATACGAGTCACCCGGGCACGAGCGGCTACTGACACGCCCCTTTGCCGTGAGCTCGGCCGGGAATTGTAGTCCAGGGTCTGCACAGCATCGGTGGCCCGGGAAGAGCCGGAGGTTAGAGGGCAGATGCAGTCGTACTGTTTCTTTGCTGGTTGGATGATGTTCCCGCATTCTCCTGCACACATCCTATAAACAAAACCGGCATCCGTACCACACCTGTCATCAAGGGTTTGAAAAATCTAAGGGCACATTTTATTATTTCGTGCTGTTGCGCCGCGCCTCTTAAGTGTTTAGAAGTTACTAAGAGTCTCCGTGACACTTTTGGGGTGGGGAGGCAAGTCCCCAGAGGTAAAAACAATTCCATATCCCAGGCATCAGCCTGGGAATCCAGCATGGGACTGATCAAGACCCCCTGAATCTGGGTGTCAGTGAGGAGGCCTAGGTAATCTATTGAGCCTTGGACAGCAGATCAGTACCCATCCCAAGTATACACACGGACTTTGGACTCCCATTGAACAATGTGAGGTGCACTCTCACCCTGAACTCTTGGGGAAGGGTCTAGGCCCTGCCCTATATGAAATGACAGACTATGGACACCCCCATGGAGGGCCTCACCCTCCCTGGGGGAATGAGGGGATAACGGGGGGGGGATGGGGGGGAGGGCACGGGAGGAGGGGAGGGAAAGGGAGAGGGACCTCGTACTGACTTGTGAAGCAACCTTGTTTCTTATCTAAATTTAAAATGGAAAATAAAAAAATATTAATAAAAAAAATGGAAAAAAAAAACAATTCCATAATCCTACTAACACTCTACTTTCACTTTCACCAGTGTGCGGTAGATTTCTCTTTATTATGCAGTGCATAACCTATAGAGGGATATACCCAGAGAGGTGATTTAAGCCAAATGTTAAACGACTTGCCACTCTTATAGATAACATTGCTTTAGTTTGGGAAAGTGTAGTCCTTAGGGTTTTGGGTTTTTGGGGGAAGGGGGTTTGTGTGTGTGTGTGTGTGTGTGTGTGTGTGTGTGTTGTGTTTTTCTTCAATTTAAGATTGTAATTAAGTCGGACGGTGGTGGTGCACGGCCTTAGTCTCAGCACTCTGTGAAGCAGAGGCAGGCGAATCTCTGAGTTTGAGGCCAGCCTGGTCTACAGAGCAGAGTTCCAAAACAGTCAGGGTTACACAGAGAAAAGATGTGTAATTAATGTTAATGATAGTTGCTATTTAATAAGTTTTTTATTCACGACTTTAATATCAATACATTAATCCACACAAATGGTTTTTGGAATCTTAAATAATTTTTGAGGGTGAAGGAAAAAATAGTCAAGAAGTTTAGCATAATAGGTAATAGTTGACTTCTTCAATCCCACTTTTGAAATCCTAGGTTAACTGACTTAGTATGGCTTTCTCAGCACACTGGTGGAAACACCTTGTCTTATTTAGCTGTTGTAAAATTCCAAGCACAGAGCCTGACATGTAAAGGCTCAAGTATAAACTATTATTCTTATTATTACCAGTATTTCTTTTATATTTTTATTTTATGTGCATTGGTGTATTGCCTGCATGTCTTTCTGTATAGGGTATCAGATCTTGGGGTTGCAGACAATTGCAAGCTGCCTATGGGTGCTGGGAATTGAACCTGGGTCATCTGGAAGAACAGCCAGTGCTCTTAACCCCTGAGCCATCTCTCCAGCCCCTATTAACTAGTTATTTCTACATTCAAATCATTGTACGACTGGAGAAAAGGTGTGGACTCCTTTACCCCTAGAATGCAGGCAGACAAATTTTTCTGTAAGTTAGGGTAACCATCGTCTATCTCACTGTTGTCTGCCTGGAACAGTCCAGGTTTTAGCACTATAGCCAACAAAAATTCTTGCATCCCAGAAAACCCTTCAGCACCAAAAAACTGGAACAGTGGGTCCCTGCACAGTAGATAAATATTTGGCAGAATGAACTGCATATTATAATAGACTTGCAAGCAATGTGTCAGGATGGAATAGCCCAAATTGAGGACCTAAAATGGCACCTTGAAGGTGACATTTGAGTGTTTCAGTATATTAGGATTTTGATAGGATACACTGTCAAAAGGAAAAGTACTCCATTAAGAATGTGGACAAAGTGCCTGGTAGTGAGGGGCACACCTTTAATCCCAGCACTTGGGAAGCAGAGGCAGGCAGATCTCTGAGTTTATGCCAGCCTGGTCTACAGAGTGGGTTCCAGGCCAGCCAGAGCTATAAAGAGAAACCCTGACTTAGAAAACAAAACAGATAAAAATAAGTGTGAACAAAGAACCCTTGAAGTGTAAAGAGTGAGTTGTGTTCCAAAGATATAAGCCTGTCCCCCAATTTAACTCTCTTGTGGCAATATACTTCAAAGTACACATTGCTTTTTTAATTCAGTGATTATTTATTTATTTAATATTTCCAAGCTTCAGAACAGGACCCTGATCCATTTTGTTGGGTCCTGCTTGTTACTGCACAAACACACTGCTCCAGGAATATTTGCTCTGAATGAATGCAAGCAGTAGGTAGGTAGTCATGATCCCAGAGAACTTTGTAGGTTGGAAGGATCTTGTGTGCAACAAAAAGTAACTTCAGAACTGTCCAAGCCCTTTGTGTGTGGCTCTTTTTTTTTAATATTTATTGTATTTATTAGTGGGGGGGGCAGATGAGTAAGGTTGCCTGAGAAGGCCAGAAGAGAACATCGAATCCCCTAGAGCTGGAGTTACAGGTACTTGGTGATCCTCTTTGATATGAGTGCTGGGAACTGAACTCATGTCCTCTGTAAGACCAGTATACCAATGAACCATCTCTCTATCCCTGTGGAGTTCTGTACATCTAGGAGAAAATCAAGTATTTTCCTGAATGCTGTCTTTCTCATCCACCTATCACATTTCTCTCACCTCTCACACATTGAAGCTCTCTCTCTCTCTCTCTCTCTCTCTCTCTCTCTCTCTCTCTCTCTCTCTCTCTCTCTCTCTTTTTAGAATTTACTTATTTATTATGTATACAGTGTTCTACATGTACGTCCACAGGCCAGAAGAGGGCACCAGGTCTCATATAGATGGTTGTGAGCCACCATGTGGTTGCTAGGAATTGAACTCAGGACCTCTGGAAGAGCAGTCAGCTCTCTTAACCTCTGAGCCATCTTTCAAGCCCCACATTGAAGCTCTTTAAAAGAACAAAAACAAAAAACCTACTAGAGGTCTAGAGAGAGATGTTTCAGTGATTAAGAACACCTGCTTTGAAATCATTAGGACCAGAATTTGGATCTCAGAACTAGGCTCCAGTGTGCTCCTGTAACACCAGATCCTAGTTGGGTGGAGACAGGACAGGAGGATTATTGGAGCTTGCTTGAATTCATCCTAGCAGAGAAAACATGAGCCCTAGGTTTAGAGAGAGACCCTGCCTTGAAACAATAGATGGAGGAAACCTGAAGCCTTCTCCTATATTACAGTCAAGTTCTAGTCAATCCCAGAGCTCAGAATACACTGTCAAAACGGGATCATTAGGGGGCTGGAGAGAAGGATCATTGCTGCTCTTCCAGAGGTCTGGAATTCATTTCCCAACACCCAAGTGGTGCTGCTCACAACAGCATGTAACTTCAGCCCTAAGGGATCTAATGCCTTCTTCTGGCCTTAGTGAGTACCTGCATGTATGTGTCATACACACACAAACACATAAATAAGAATAAAAAATCTTTAAAAAAAATTCAGGCAAGGTGGCACATGACTTTGATCCCAGCACACAGGAGGCAGAGGCAGGTGGATCTCTGTGAATTTGAGGTCAGCCTGTTCTACATAGTGAGTTTCAGGACAGTCGGGGCTACAAAGTGAAACCCTGTCTCAAAAAAATGAAATAAAAATGAAGATCACTTGAGATCGGGAGTTGCACCAGCCTCTACATCATAGTGAGACCTATCCCCAAATAAGAGACTATTCTAGTCTCTACTCCCACCCTCCTCTAATGGCCTTTCTTCTGTCACTCAGTGCCCTCCCATACCCAGTTCTCCATCACAAAGGACCAAGACTGCTCTGAAGATAAAGATCAGTCTAGCCTCAAAATAGTGATCCTCCTTCCTCAGCCTCCTAAGGACTGGGATTGCAGGCACATTGCATGACACCCTGGGAAAATAACATTTCCTATGTCTGTTCATGAAAGCACATCAGAATTAATGAGTATATTAGTTAATATGACATATTCTTACTTGCCTATATTAGCTGGAAGTCGTAAATACTTTATAACTCTGCTGGTTGAGTGATTACCAGCCAGGTATGGCTGATACTTAGGAGGGCATGACAGGGTGTAGGGGAACTTACAGCCAGCAGAGGTAAGGAACTAGTTAGGAAGGGCTCTGCTTGCATGTTTAAATCTGGTTTGGGGGATGGATAGAGATAAGGATATTATGAAGCTCTGTCCTTGTGTAGCTTGGTAATGCGCTGGATCACCATTGTCTGAGCTTTTCCGAGGTAATTTCCCCACTCTCAGCTCCTTCTCTCACATTTCTCCAGTTCTCCCAATCTTTCCTTTTTAAAAGTCAGGTTCCCGTGTAGCCCAAGCTGGCCCCGAACTCACTGTAGCTCAAATGATTCTGATCTGATTCTCCTGCCTCCACCTCTCAAGTGCTTGGCTTCCAGTTCTCAAATGCTGCATGTCACGTACTTCGAGCATTGAAAGTACTTGGGAACTGGGATCCTTGGCGCTCCCTTCCTCAATGCTTTCTTCCTTTCCTGCAGAAAGAATTATGGAGCCTGAGCATCTGTGCCTTCCCCGTTGCCTCCTTGGGCCCTTCTATAGCATCTTCCAGCCCCGCTGTGTCCCACCCACAAAGTCATGTCATGACTCTGCCATCAAAGACGGGGGACTCTGAAGCAAAATCAAACAC